CCCTTTCTCCTGACTGCCAGCTGAGCTGCTGCTTCCCCTGGGACACAGCAGCCCACGCCAGGCAATGCCACGCTGTCCATGAGCCCCTCGTGTGCTGAACCCACCCCAAGTGCTGCCTCCCCACCTCTGGGACCCTCAGCCTCCCCAAAACAGCTCCATTGAGACACTCTGGAATCAATGAGTGCTTCCAGGAGGCTCCAGACCCTTGTGGATCAGCTCTGCCCACATCCCAGGGCAGCTGGATCTCACCATCCTCAAGCAGACAAACTCAGAGGAGTTCAGGGTCCCCATGATGTGTGGTAGATCTCTGCAAGTCAGCTGGAGGGTGAACTTTGAGGCAGAGACAAGTCTCCTGAGCTTTGGTCAGCTTGCGTCACTCCATCATCTTGCCTCAGCCTTGCTGTCTGAGATTTCATTTTTATTCCACTTGTGCTGCTCTCTCAGAAATGCCACAAGCATCTGTGCCTGTCCCAAGCTCACATTTTTCATTAAAAGGGCCAGTTAATTGCAGTTAAGTGAAGCACCAGCCATGTGGCCAGGCTCCAGCCCTGCTCTGTGGGTTCTGGATGGGCCCTGACTTCATTTCCCCAGGGAAAAGCCCCACAGCAGATCAGGAAATGAGGGACACGGCAGGCACCTGCTCCCCTGGTGTGAGCTGGTGGCTTTCCAAGCCTGTCCTCACAAGAGGTCACACCAGAGGGACAGAATCCACATTAGGGGGGTACAGCCCACACCATTACAGTCTCCTCTGGCTGCACCTCCCAGATTTATGTGCCCAACACTGCAATAAACTGCACAGATGTGCCCAGTGGGGTTTTTTTTGAGAGAATACTGCCGGGGTTTTAATCTGTTTTGAGCCCTTTTTTTTATTATTTTTCTCGCTAACAGAGGCAACTACTGCTATTTTAATTCCAGATTTAGAGACCTGTGTGGCAGAGCCCAAATCCTGATGATGATGCCAAGGAGATGAGGGGTTACAGAGATTGCAAGCAGCAGAATTTGCTTTGGGTGAAAAATGCTGGTAAACTTTCAGGCTACTCCCAGTTTTTATGTAGCACTGGCTAGCTTGTAAATCAATCAGAAATCAAGAAATGCCAGAGTTTTGCAACTCTGGTTGGGTCCTTGTGCCTGCTTGCCTTGTGCCCCGGGTCCCATCCCTGTGGGGAGATGTTGAAACCTGGTGAGAGGGAGCCCTTGGGAGTGCCAGAGCACGGGCAAGGCTGCCACCCCGCGGGGACACGGCTTTGCCAGGCAATCCCTCCCTGTCTCCAGGGCTGTCCTTCTGCCAGGAGCCAGGGGACAACATTCTAGGACTAAAGGATCAGCTCGGGGAGGATGCAGCATCCCTAAGCTGCCCGCTGCTTCCTTGCAGAGAGGGCTGCGTGAGCTCTGGGTGAGCAGCATGAGGAGAATCCTCCTTATCCCCCTGCCAAGAAGGGTGACAAGCCAGGAGCTCTGGCCCCAGTGCTCAGGGACATCTTCCTGGCTGGTAGCCTGCAGGTTGGAACCTGCCAGTTCTTGCTCTTGGATTTTTCTTGGAGGAAACAGGAGCCTGGCAGAGGTACCCTGCCCAAGCAGGGCAGTGCCAAGGAGGGGAGGGGGCAGGTACAGCACCAGGATGCTGCTGTCACTGTCCCCACGTCACTGCCACCCCCACGGAGTCACTGGGGCCTGTGGGAAGAAGGGGAGTTACTTGGAGGAGGCTGCATGTCCCTGGAGCACCATCTGCTGCATCCTCCTGAGATGCCTCTGATAATTCCTCTGGAGGAGAAGCTAAAGTCATTTCTGCTTTGCTGTAGGGAAGGGAGATTACAGGTCTGGGCAGACAATAAAAACACACTGCAGAAAGGATGAATAGTCACTCTGAGCAGAAGCCCCTGGTTAAAGGCCACGCTTCACAAACTGCCCAGACACTTTGGAAGTTCCCTGTGGGCTGAGTCCTTTGCTGCCTTTCCCTCCATCATAAAACTATCAACTAATTCACAATCAAAAAAACCTCCAAGAAATTTTGTTAATCCCTAAAGAGTGTTGCCAGCACATTATTAATAGGTGAATTTGCAAAGAAAGTTGTGGTGAAGAGCTCTTTCCTGAAACCACCATAGCTTATGAACAAGAAGAATTTCTCTAAATGACAATTAATCTCAGCAAACAAGAATTTTTGCACAGAACAGGAGGAGTATCCGGGACAGATGTGACTGGGAAGACTTCTGGGTGAAAAAATTGAAATATTTTGAGTGACACACAGGCATTAATGGCAGTGCTCATGCTGTTCTGCAAGTAGATGAGTCTTTTGGGGTCAGAGTGGCTCTGGGTTTGGGGACACATTCCCTGTCCCACACAAAACACCGCCAAACACCCCAATGTCCTTGCACAGAGGCTTTCAGAGCTGCTTATGGGTTTAATTAGCTTATGGATTGCAAAAGGCTTTAAAATCATCCCTTCTGATAGCAGGGAGACAGTCATGGCCTGGTGTCCCCAAAAGTGAGGGGCAGCATGGATCCTGAGCTGCTGCCCCCTCTGCGTGGCTCCTGGCTTGCCTCAAACCTGCCTTGATTTCCTGTCATCATTTCCTATCAAAACTCTCCTTTTCTGCCAGCCAGGCATGAAGAGGGGCCCACAAATGGCTCAAGTGTCATTTCATGGCCCTGACAGACACACAGGCTGCTCAGGCACCTGCAGGTAACATCTGCACACAGATCACGCTCGAAATCTGTTTCCCTAATTTTACACTTCTGAGAGGTTTGAATGGGGGGGTCAAATGTCTGGATTTAATTTTTTTTTTTTTTTTTCCTGCTGGCTTTGCTAGGTTTCTGTCAGGAAGGAGGGAGATGTCAGCACATGGCAGGGAGGAACCAAGGCTCTGGCAAAAGAAGTATCTGAAGGGAAAGAAGCAGAGGCTGGGGACCTGTTAGCACCAGGCAGAGAAAGGAGGCAGCTTCAGTTAAAATGCCCTTTCCATGCCTGCAGCTAGAGCTCCCTCCTGGAATGAAACTGCCCTTTCCCAAAGTGCACTCATTCATGCCTTTCCCCCTGGAGATGCAAACACAACAGGGCTGCACAATCTGTGGTAGAAAGCCCTGAGATTGCCCAGTAATTAATCTCAGTAAAAAATTGGTTTAAAAGAGTGTCAGACGCTGAGGGGATTTATTGCTTTCTAATTAGCAGAGAGTCATCTCCCTCCTTTGCTTTCTCCTGCATCTGCAGCCCTGTGCCACTCCCAGCCTCTGACACAGGTGCTGTGATGCTGGTCCCAGTAATGATCCCTCAGGGGATGCAGGAGGGGACTGGGATGAACCCTGGGGCACACTCACTCTGTCTGGATAAGAGGTGGTGCCTCTGCTCCTTAACTTCCAGCCCTCCCTGAGTTTTGGCCTAGATATGGCAGAAGCAAGTGGCTTTTCAATTTAAATAGTCTCAGTGCTTCTGTGTTTATGGCTCATATTAATATCTAAGCCCACGCACTGAGGGAAAAAAAAAAACAACCAACAAACAACTGCATTTATTTCCTCTGTTTTTCACAGCTAATCAGCATCAAAGAGGAGGAGGTTGGTGGGCTCAGCCTTTTGGCAGAGCAAATACTGTCTGAGATGATTATGCCCATGTGGTAAATTATAGGGATGTGGGGGCCTTTCCTGAACACCCTGGATATCCATCTGTGTGGAAAGCTATTTGAGCAGAGCATGAGTGCTGAAACCTTTAGCCTTGGGTATTCACGTACACTGGAGCTGTGGATTTCATGTGTGGCAACTTCAGGGAGAGCTCGTATGTCCACCCCACCCACCCACAACTTTAATGATTAATTTCAGATTAAATCTGTCACGTGGTTCCATGGGCATGAGGTTTGAACTGCTGTTTGTACTGACCCATTGGTGCTGGTCAGGCTGCTGAGTTTTGTTCTTCCTCTGATCCTTTTGATTTTGCTCGCATGAGGGATAACGGGACCACGAAAGAAAGGGCGAGCCACCCTCACAAAAAGTACTTCCAGCGGTGGAAAGCACATCCTCCAAGTGGTGCTGGGCACCATGCTGACCTTCAAGAGCCTTACAAAGGAACAAATGAAACCCCCAACGCCGGTTGCCTGTTTCCTATATCACTTTATTGACCGCCACTGACCACGGTCTCAGGTTGAGCGCCAGATACCAGTGGGAGAGGTGGAGCTACCCTAGAGTTACAGGAGAGAGCAAGGGAGATGGTGTGTCACACACAGGCTGGGGAGAGCTGGCTGGGGATGAGAAGCTTCTGCATGGTGGTGAGCCCCCCTCTCTCCCCGCCGAGGGCCTACAAAGACAGCGGAAAGACGAGCTTGTCCTCCTGTCAGTTGTCCCAAAGGGAAATGACAGGGCAAAGGTGTGAACAGAGAGACTAAAACACTTTGCTGGAAAAAAAAAAAATACACATTGCAACCCCCTCGAAGGTGAGATATTGTTGGTAATTGTTATTATTGTTATTATTGTTTCTCCTGCGGTTGCAAGGAACTCATGGCAGGTTCGTCACACGGACGCGGGGCTTTGAGTGTGGGGCTTGGCTCTGTTGCTGTTTGAGAGTAACCAGTTTAACTCTGAGTGGGGTACAGCAATTCTGCAGGGCTTTTCCCCTGCCCCAAGCCTTGCCTCAAGGCTGGGTGCACCAGCAGCCAGCGTTACTTGCGCTCTCCTTCCTGCCTGATGGTGGATATGGGCTACAGCACCAGACAAAGAACCCTTTCAGCAAGTACAGCAGCATGGCAGCATTGCCACTCATGCCATTCCCATGATATTTAAGCTTCCAAGTCCACCAGCCGCTCACCCAGCCCCTCGTTCCATCCAAGGGAAGAAGGGGAGAACAAAAATAGAAGAGAACAAAAAAAAAAAAAAAAAAAAAAAAAAAAAAAAAAGAGGAAACAAAGTGGGAGAGGAACCAACAGAAGAAACCCCTCCAGATATTCACTGATATCTACGCCAAGGCTCTGGGAGCGAGACCTGCAGGCGGTGGCAGCCTGGCCAGCGCGGTGGCCGGCGGGCTCAGGAGGAGGGCGCGGAGGTGGGCTTCTCCTCGCGGGACACGGGGATGGGCCTCTCGCTGTGGCTGGCCTCCATGTTGGAGGGGACCTTGGGGCCCGAGAAGGTCAGCATGCCATCGTTGGACAGCGAGCAGGTGATGGCGGCCTGGTCCACGTTGGTGGGCAGGCGGTACCGGCGGTGGAATTCCCGGGAGATGTAGCCGTGGTCGTCCTGAGAGGCGGTGGGGAAAGGGGGGAAGGCGTGTCAGAAAGTCCCCAGCACTCGGAGCAGGAGAGCCACAATCACCCTGGCTGATCATGACACTGCACTGCCAGCACTGCTGGCACACTTCTGCCGGGTTTAATTTTGCAGGTTTGGAGGGGCAGGGATCCCCCTTGACACCTCTGAAGCTGCAAGAGCTGAGCACAGCAGCAGGGAGTGATTTTGGCCAGAGGTTTGATGCCAGGTTGGGATTTGATTTAGACCTCTGATTTCAAAGGATGCTTGGAGACAAAGTCTGGAGGCCTGGGAAGGTAAAAGCAAGGTGGTTGTGTGCACCCATGTATTTATTTACTAGGCTGCAATGCTGTGTCAGCCAAAGTATACAATCCTGGCGTCCTTCTTTTTTTGGCCAAAAGAATGAAAAGTGCAATTATTTTTTTTAAGTTGGCCATGAGAATAATAACTATATTTAAAAATACATACTGTTTCCAGGCTAGAGCTTTGTCTGGCCAAAAATGTGTATGAGAAGAATTAAATCCCTGCTGGTATAATTCACTTTTCAACCCCCACAGATATTTCCATGACATCCATGTTAAAAGTTTCCAAGCCTGAGGCACTTGGTTGGTTTTCTTTTGTTTTGTTTGCTCTTGCTTTTCTCTCCCAGACTGGCATATAAAAACTGTTTTCACTAAGGGTTCTGGCTTATGAAAACTCAGCCATGCTTCAGCAGTGCCAGATGATGTCCTGAGTCTGGCCCAGTGTTATTAGTGAACAATGGACACGGTCATCTGATGGTTATGGAAGATGATAATTGAAAATAAACAAAAGAGGAGTGGATTAGCTTGTTATTGTCAGAAATCAGGTGGGGGCTCTATAGGAACAGGCCATGCCAATAAAGACAATTCATAATTAACTCCTTCTTCTGATATATTCTGTTTTTTTTTCTTCAGCTGAGAACCATTGGAAAGGAGGAAAAGAGAGCTGGACTCCCCAGCTTCTCCACCATCACCATCACTTCACTTACCTGCCTTTCACTGTGCTTGCCATGGATTTCCACAAAGTCATCAATAATCTTCACGCTCAAGTCTTCGGGAGAGAAGTGTTTTACATCCAGCATGATTGTGAACTTGTCCCGATCAGACCTCACCTGGAACGAGCATTTTCACACAGTGAGGCCCCAGCTCTGGGTGTGGGGACAGCGCCAGCATCACCACAGATCAAAACCCAAAAGAGGGGTGGTCTGGCACTTTGTCCTTCTGTGACTACGGGTCTTAGCAGGGGTCTTCTTCCCATTGTGGGCACCCAAGGACATTGGGAGGCCTTGGGAGGTGTCAGGGTCACTGGGAGGTGTCAGGGTCACTGGGAGGCCATGGCTGGTGTCTGCACCTTGGTACTGCTCTGGGGAGAGGTGATACTCCCTGCTGCTATTCTGGTGCCAGGGACCTTTTCGCACTCAGTGACCTGCCAGATGGACCAGGCACAGAGAGGGGGGATCAAAACCAGTGTAAGGCTCTCTGGTAGCACGTGTTTTGTCCTTTCAGTGATTTATGGTTTCGTTGTGGTCATAGCTCTGGGAGGAAAGCAGTAAGAGAAGGCTACAGAAAACACTGCTACCTGAATTTCAGATCATGGCCCCCACAGCTACACATTCCCCTACAGTTCCCTTCAGAAAATTGCTCCAGGGTCCTTCAGTGAGGGATTTCTAAAACCACCGAGCTCCCAAGGTGGAGGAGAAGGTGGAGAAAGCTCCAACTTGCCAGGGTCCTCTCCCATGGCAAGCTTTTTTGTTCTTTTTCACTACACAGGTGGCAGGCACAGAGCAACCAAAACAGCCTTCTTGAGCTGGAAACGACCCTCCAAAGGAGCTGAAATGGTTCCTATTTCTCGAAGGGAAGCTTTGTCCCCTTGAGAGGTTCCCTTTGTGCCCAAGAAGGGGTGGGTGGCTGTGCCTGGCAGTGGGCTCGGTACCTTCCTTGTCCCCTCACACGGGGCTACAGCAGCATGAGATGTGGGTGGAGAGGAGCAGCTGGAAAAGGTGGGAGAGGAAGGAAAGGAGAGGAAATCAAAGGGCCCTTACCTCTGAAATGCCCGACTCCAGCACGCTGCGGAAGAGGGACTGCCTGTAGTAGGGGCTGATAGTGGACGAGAACAAAGGCAGGAGGTCATACTCAAGGAGACCCTCTCCAAAAAACTGGTCGAACAAACGGCTTGGAATGAGGGGTCCCAGAGCACGCTTGAACCAGGGGTGCTGGATGGTAATGTCCATGCTGCTGCTGCTGCTGCTGCTGCTGCTGCTGCTGAGAGCTGTGGCTGCAAGGGGAGAGAAGAAGGGGCAGCGCCGCTGCTGGGGAGACGGCGAGGCCTTGGCTGGACTGCAGCCCCAGGGAAGCTCCCCCTATATATACCGGCCTGGCAGAATGAAGGCATTAGCAGGATTCCTCTGGAAAGACATGATCTCATGATGGAGGCAACGTGGTCAGCAGAAATGCGGAGACTGACCTGGAAATGACAGTCTGGTTGGAATCGGTGCCAGATGTCCTGGAGGGATGATGCCAGGCAGCAGGCTGCGAGGCACAGGGTGCCCAGGGGTGCTGGCATGTCCCCTGTGGAATCAAGCAGGCTGGGCAGGACACCCCAGTGGGCATCTCAAAGATGCTTGTGAAAGAGATCTGGTCCATAGGTCTTCGTAACCTGACCCTGGGTTTCATTAATTTGCTTCATTGCTGCCCCTCCTTGAAGCAGAAACTCAATATTTTTTCCAAATAAATGAAATAGCTTTCTTCCAAGCAAGGAAAAAGGGTCAGATTCAGGTTGAAGGAGGGGAAACTTTTTTGTAACATACTACAAAGTGCCTCTGCCGCTCAAGAGGGGCCTGACGCCCCTGGCACAGGGATCATGGCAGGACTGGCAGGGAAGCAGGACTAGCAAATGATTTAGAGCATCATTTTTTGTCTGACAAAACAAAAACTTTCAACAAAAAATACTTTGGCAAAAGAAAGAAAGAAAAACAAGCTTGGCCTCTGACTGTAACATCAGTCCCTAAGCTGCTCTTGTGAGTGTCCTTGTTTTGATTTAGGAGTGATGGGGGAGATCCATTTATCTCATGGTGTCACAGCACAGATCCTGCTTAACATGCATTTCTGTTTACAGCTGTTTTTCATTTCTGTTTCACTTAAAGCTTCCTTTAAGGGGTCAGCTGGCACCCTGGGCTGCTGGGCAATGGGCACCGTGCCCGCTGCTGCAGCCACAGAGAGCTGATGTGGCTGGGCACTGAAAGGGCAGCCAGGCTGCCCAGCTCCACAGCAGGGCTCACAGGCTGTGGCCACAGCTGAAACCCCATTCCCATCACATTCAGAGATGCAGGGATTGCATTCTGGGAGCCTCTGAGCAGCAGAAGCACCAGTGCTGGGAGTCCTGTGCATCTCAGCACCTTTTGCAGTCAGCAGAGAGCAAAAGAAAAAGAGAGGACACTTCATATATGAGGAGCTGAATCATCTTTTCACATTTTTAGGCACTAAAGAAAGCAAGGGTGGCTGAGATCCTGCCCTCTTGTTTGGGAGAAACCAGATGATTCCAGTCCAGAGGATCTAACTGAGAAAAGCACTGAGGCTTTTCTATCACTGAGTGATACTCAGCTGGGAATCACCTGGCATCCAGGCACCATGTGCCCTTGGAAAATCCTTGGCCTTGGAAGAATTGTAGGAACTAGAAGATCCTGTTACAGAGGCTTTCCTTCATGAAAAGCAAAAACTTGAGCAGAAAAACCCCCAAAATCACAGTAAAGACTGCTAAGAAGACAGACAAGAGTTTAGGTTCCACCTTACGTAGCTCCAGCAAGAAAAGGCCCCATGGTCTGCCCTTGGCTCTCAGACATGAAGGATTTTCTAAAATCAGGTGTCAAAAAGAGATCAACCACTCCTCAAGCCATGGAGGGAAAAACCACAAGAGAGAGACATAACACCTCACTTATTCCCATTGCACCAAATCTGTCATTTTGTTTGAGGAATTAAGGGAAAGCAAACAAATCATAAAGCACTACTAACATTTGTCTTCAAGAACTCTGTGAGATTTGTCCTGCAGTGAAAAAAAAATCTCTCCTCAGCCAGCCAGTTCCAGAGACCTGCTAACCTGTATTTATCCAACTGGCAGCAGTGACCTGATGCAGATGCATCACCTGATGTGCAGGATAAGAGGAAAAATGAGAGGAGAGATGGGAACAAGTTCAAATCCCAAAGCACTCAGTGGAACACACAAAGCAAGGTATTTATTTGGCTGGTAGAGGAACTGTGGGAACTCTTCTTATACAGAAAATGAAAGCAATTTGGGAGTCTGACAGGTGAGGGGGTGAGGGTGAGGGGTGAATGCCATCCCTAAAGGGTGTTGGGAACATCCTCTTTGTATTTCCCAAATCAGGGGTTATGGTGGGAGCACAGGGAGCAATGTACACAATGGCAGGATCCTCTCTGGGCTTCCTTCAGTCCTGACAAACCTGCCAAACCCTTGAGCTCTGACCTCCAGTGTGTTCCCCAGATTATTCCTTGGATTATTGAGGCCAGGAGGAAGGAGGGAGCCCAGTCTGCTCAAAGTCAAATCCAACCAGGCCTTGAACACTTCCAGGCATGGGGCAGCCACAGCTTTTCTGGGTAAGTGGTGCCACTGAGCAACATACAGGTAACCAGAGCCCTCTGTATGCTCAGAGGAATGAAAGGAATTGGCTCCTTGCAGAAAAATGAGAAATATGTCTTCAACAAATTTTGTCTGAATTATGTATATTACCATACACTCATATAAATAAAAAGCATCAGCCAACTTTGTGGTTTTTTGTCTTTACTTTCTTCTGGACCTACATTTTCATGGTTTTCCTGAGCATTAATCATACCCATATGTCTTAGACAGACATTTTTGTCTTTTGTGGGCAAAAATATTTCACTGAAATGTAAATTTCATTTACAGGGGTTTTTATCTGATGCAGACTTCACATTGCCTGTATATCTCTGGGGGAAAAAACCAGTCTCCTGAGATGCATCACATGTGATTTCCAATGGCCTAAAACTTCTGTGTCCTGTTCAGATAAGTTGTCCAAGCTGCCTGTCCAGTCAGTGAAGGGACAGATGCCTCCAGAACATGTGGGAGGGCAGGAAAGGTGAAATGAGACCCCTTTTAGCAGTGCCTGTGTCTCAGGAGGGAGCTGGGGAGGCAATTCCAATTCTAATCTCCTTTTGCACAAGCAAAGCTGCTGAGATGAATCCCATCCGGTGGGAATTTGGTATGAGAGAAGAAAGTGATCATTTTGCATCAGTTCAGCAGCGCAGACCTCAAAAGACATGCAACATTTGAGCATCATTATCACCTGCTGAGAAACAGCAGTGAGATTTGTCGGTGGAAATCGAATGGAAGAAAATTAATGCATATGGTCATGAGCACATCCAAGAGCAATGCATCAAAGGCAGTTTTTTCCCAAAGATTCATTGCTAGTTTAGAATGTGAGTCAAACTGAGAAACTCCTCCAGAATGTTCTGTTGTCCAGCTTACCTTTGAAATAATCCCTTCCTAAACCATAATTGCCAGCATGTAAGTGAGACATTTAGTAAAAGATATTGCCCAGGACAAACTGAAGAAATCCCAGACCACATTTCTGAGTAAAGCTGTCATCAGCAATCACAGCCCTTGCTTGTGTTTAGCTGCTCTCAGTTTGTCTGCATGACTGACTCCCACCTCCCCATTTCCAGGCGAGCCCAGGGCTGTCTCCAACCTCCTTGCCAAGATCTGTGCAAGCCCAGGGTGAAGAAAAAAAGCAAATATTGAAGTGGAGCAGTCACTGGTCAGGTGCAGTGACTGTGGAGGGTTTGCAGGAGATTCTGAAGTGCTGACAGAATGGGGGTTCCTGTTCCCAGCTGGTTTCTTGCAGCCCCAGGAGAGCCAAGAAAGGCAGACTCTGCTCTGATCTGCATTTCTGTTCAAGTCAAGTGTACCCTCTCACCCTGCAGAAGATGCAACTCTTTAGCTAGTTCTCATGGAAAACAGGAATGCACCCCAGTGCTTTTTCTTGCAAATACACATATCTACCCCCAGAATACAACTATACACATTTAAAAGGTCCTCTGTGTTTAGATGTCAGCTGTTTAGTGATGATATAAGGGACTGAGCAACCTCTGGCAATATATAATGATAAAATTATTGCAGCATGCCAGTCAGACTGTTTCCACTTCNCTGCAAGAGCTGAGCACAGCAGCAGGGAGTGATTTTGGCCAGAGGTTTGATGCCAGGTTGGGATTTGATTTAGACCTCTGATTTCAAAGGATGCTTGGAGACAAAGTCTGGAGGCCTGGGAAGGTAAAAGCAAGGTGGTTGTGTGCACCCATGTATTTATTTACTAGGCTGCAATGCTGTGTCAGCCAAAGTATACAATCCTGGCGTCCTTCTTTTTTTGGCCAAAAGAATGAAAAGTGCAATTATTTTTTTTAAGTTGGCCATGAGAATAATAACTATATTTAAAAATACATACTGTTTCCAGGCTAGAGCTTTGTCTGGCCAAAAATGTGTATGAGAAGAATTAAATCCCTGCTGGTATAATTCACTTTTCAACCCCCACAGATATTTCCATGACATCCATGTTAAAAGTTTCCAAGCCTGAGGCACTTGGTTGGTTTTCTTTTGTTTTGTTTGCTCTTGCTTTTCTCTCCCAGACTGGCATATAAAAACTGTTTTCACTAAGGGTTCTGGCTTATGAAAACTCAGCCATGCTTCAGCAGTGCCAGATGATGTCCTGAGTCTGGCCCAGTGTTATTAGTGAACAATGGACACGGTCATCTGATGGTTATGGAAGATGATAATTGAAAATAAACAAAAGAGGGGTAGATTAGCTTGTTATTGTCAGAAATCAGGTGGGGGCTCTATAGGAACAGGCCATGCCAATAAAGACAATTCATAATTAACTCCTTCTTCTGATATATTCTGTTTTTTTTTCTTCAGCTGAGAACCATTGGAAAGGAGGAAAAGAGAGCTGGACTCCCCAGCTTCTCCACCATCACCATCACTTCACTTACCTGCCTTTCACTGTGCTTGCCATGGATTTCCACAAAGTCATCAATAATCTTCACGCTCAAGTCTTCGGGAGAGAAGTGTTTTACATCCAGCATGATTGTGAACTTGTCCCGATCAGACCTCACCTGGAACGAGCATTTTCACACAGTGAGGCCCCAGCTCTGGGTGTGGGGACAGCGCCAGCATCACCACAGATCAAAACCCAAAAGAGGGGTGGTCTGGCACTTTGTCCTTCTGTGACTACGGGTCTTAGCAGGGGTCTTCTTCCCATTGTGGGCACCCAAGGACATTGGGAGGCCTTGGGAGGTGTCAGGGTCACTGGGAGGTGTCAGGGTCACTGGGAGGCCATGGCTGGTGTCTGCACCTTGGTACTGCTCTGGGGAGAGGTGATACTCCCTGCTGCTATTCTGGTGCCAGGGACCTTTTCGCACTCAGTGACCTGCCAGATGGACCAGGCACAGAGAGGGGGGATCAAAACCAGTGTAAGGCTCTCTCGTAGCACGTGTTTTGTCCTTTCAGTGATTTATGGTTTCGTTGTGGTCATAGCTCTGGGAGGAAAGCAGTAAGAGAGGGCTACAGAAAGCACCTGTACCTGAATTTCAGATCATAGCCCCCACAGCTACAAATTCCCCTACAGTTCCCATCAGAAAATTGCTCCAGTGTCCTTCAGTGAGGGATTTCTAAAACCACCGAGCTCCCAAGGTGGAGGAGAAGGTGGAGAAAGCTCCAACTTGCCAGGGTCCTCTCCCATGGCAAGCTTTTTTGTTCTTTTTCACTACACAGGTGGCAGGCACAGAGCAACCAAAACAGCCTTCTTGAGCTGGAAACGACCCTCCAAAGGAGCTGAAATGGTTCCTATTTCTCGAAGGGAAGCTTTGTCCCCTTGAGAGGTTCCCTTTGTGCCCAAGAAGGGGTGGGTGGCTGTGCCTGGCAGTGGGCTCGGTACCTTCCTTGTCCCCTCACACGGGGCTACAGCAGCATGAGATGTGGGTGGAGAGGAGCAGCTGGAAAAGGTGGGAGAGGAAGGAAAGGAGAGGAAATCAAAGGGCCCTTACCTCTGAAATGCCCGACTCCAGCACGCTGCGGAAGAGGGACTGCCTGTAGTAGGGGCTGATAGTGGACGAGAACAAAGGCAGGAGGTCATACTCAAGGAGACCCTCTCCAAAAAACTGGTCGAACAAACGGCTTGGAATGAGGGGTCCCAGAGCACGCTTGAACCAGGGGTGCTGGATGGTAATGTCCATGCTGCTGCTGCTGCTGCTGCTGCTGCTGCTGCTGAGAGCTGTGGCTGCAAGGGGAGAGAAGAAGGGGCAGCGCCGCTGCTGGGGAGACGGCGAGGCCTTGGCTGGACTGCAGCCCCAGGGAAGCTCCCCCTATATATACCGGCCTGGCAGAATGAAGGCATTAGCAGGATTCCTCTGGAAAGACATGATCTCATGATGGAGGCAACGTGGTCAGCAGAAATGCGGAGACTGACCTGGAAATGACAGTCTGGTTGGAATCGGTGCCAGATGTCCTGGAGGGATGATGCCAGGCAGCAGGCTGCGAGGCACAGGGTGCCCAGGGGTGCTGGCATGTCCCCTGTGGAATCAAGCAGGCTGGGCAGGACACCCCAGTGGGCATCTCAAAGATGCTTGTGAAAGAGATCTGGTCCATAGGTCTTTGTAACCTGACCCTGGGTTTCATTAATTTGCTTCATTGCTGCCCCTCCTTGAAGCAGAAACTCAATATTTTTTCCAAATAAATGAAATAGCTTTCTTCCAAGCAAGGAAAAAGGGTCAGATTCAGGTTGAAGGAGGGGAAACTTTTTTGTAACATACTACAAAGTGCCTCTGCCGCTCAAGAGGGGCCTGACGCCCCTGGCACAGGGATCATGGCAGGACTGGCAGGGAAGCAGGACTAGCAAATGATTTAGAGCATCATTTTTTGTCTGACAAAACAAAAACTTTCAACAAAAAATACTTTGGCAAAAGAAAGAAATAAAAACAAGCTTGGCCTCTGACTGTAACATCAGCCCCTAAGCTGCTCTTGTGAGTGTCCTTGTTTTGATATAGGAGTGATGGGGGAGATCCATTTATCTCATGGTGTCACAGCACAGATCCTGCTTAACATGCATTTCTGTTTACAGCTGTTTTTCATTTCTGTTTCACTTAAAGCTTCCTTTAAGGGGTCAGCTGGCACCCTGGGCTGCTGGGCAATGGGCACCGTGCCCGCTGCTGCAGCCACAGAGAGCTGATGTGGCTGGGCACTGAAAGGGCAGCCAGGCTGCCCAGCTCCACAGCAGGGCTCACAGGCTGTGGCCACAGCTGAAACCCCATTCCCATCACATTCAGAGATGCAGGGATTGCATTCTGGGAGCCTCTGAGCAGCAGAAGCACCAGTGCTGGGAGTCCTGTGCATCTCAGCACCTTTTGCAGTCAGCAGAGAGCAAAAGAAAAAGAGAGGACACTTCATATATGAGGAGCTGAATCATCTTTTCACATTTTTAGGCACTAAAGAAAGCAAGGGTGGCTGAGATCCTGCCCTCTTGTTTGGGAGAAACCAGATGATTCCAGTCCAGAGGATCTAACTGAGAAAAGCACTGAGGCTTTTCTATCACTGAGTGATACTCAGCTGGGAATCACCTGGCATCCAGGCACCATGTGCCCTTGGAAAATCCTTGGCCTTGGAAGAATTGTAGGAACTAGAAAATCCTGTTACAGAGGCTTTCCTTCATGAAAAGCAAAAACTTGAGCAGAAAAACCCCCAAAATCACAGTAAAGACTGCTAAGAAGACAGACAAGAGTTTAGGTTCCACCTTACGTAGCTCCAGCAAGAAAAGGCCCCATGGTCTGGCCTTGGCTCTCAGGCATGAAGGATTTTCTAAAATCAGGTGTCAAAAAGAGATCAACCACTCCTCAAGCCATGGAGGGAAAAACCACAAGAGAGAGACATAACACCTCACTTATTCCCATTGCACCAAATCTGTCATTTTGTTTGAGGAATTAAGGGAAAGCAAACAAATCATAAAGCACTACTAACATTTGTCTTCAAGAACTCTGTGAGATTTGTCCTGCAGTGAAAAAAAAATCTCTCCTCAGCCAGCCAGTTCCAGAGACCTGCTAACCTGTATTTATCCAACTGGCAGCAGTGACCTGATGCAGATGCATCACCTGATGTGCAGGATAAGAGGAAAAATGAGAGGAGAGATGGGAACAAGTTCAAATCCCAAAGCACTCAGTGGAACACACAAAGCAAGGTATTTATTTGGCTGGTAGAGGAACTGTGGGAACTCTTCTTATACAGAAAATGAAAGCAATTTGGGAGTCTGACAGGTGAGGGGGTGAGGGTGAGGGGTGAATGCCATCCCTAAAGGGTGTTGGGAACATCCTCTTTGTATTTCCCAAATCAGGGGTTATGGTGGGAGCACAGGGAGCAATGTACACAATGGCAGGATCCTCTCTGGGCTTCCTTCAGTCCTGACAAACCTGCCAAACCCTTGAGCTCTGACCTCCAGTGTGTTCCCCAGATTATTCCTTGGATTATTGAGGCCAGGAGGAAGGAGGGAGCCCAGTCTGCTCAAAGTCAAATCCAACCAGGCCTTGAACACTTCCAGGCATGGGGCAGCCACAGCTTTTCTGGGTAAGTGGTGCCACTGAGCAACATACAGGTAACCAGAGCCCTCTGTATGCTCAGAGGAATGAAAGGAATTGGCTCCTTGCAGAAAAATGAGAAATATGTCTTCAACAAATTTTGTCTGAATTATGTATATTACCATACACTCATATAAATAAAAAGCATCAGCCAACTTTGTGGTTTTTTGTCTTTACTTTCTTCTGGACCTACATTTTCATGGTTTTCCTGAGCATTAATCATACCCATATGTCTTAGACAGACATTTTTGTCTTTTGTGGGCAAAAATATTTCACTGAAATGTAAATTTCATTTACAGGGGTTTTTGTCTGATGCAGACTTCACATTGCCTGTATATCTCTGGGGGAAAAAAACAATCTCCTGAGATGCATCACATGTAATTTCCAATGGCCTAAAACTTCTGTGTCCTGTTCAGATAAGTTGTCCAAGCTGCCTGTCCAGTCAGTGAAAGGACAGATGCCTCCAGAACATGTGGGAGGGCAGGAAAGGTGAAATGAGACCCCTTTCAGCAGTGCCTGTGTCTCAGGAGGGAGCTGGGGAGGCAATTCCAATTCTAATCTCCTTTTGCACAAGCAAAGCTGCTGAGATGAATCCCATCCAGTGGGAATTTGGTATAAGAGAAGAAAGTGATCATTTTGCATCAGTTCAGCAGAGCAGACCTCAAAAGACATGCAACATTTGAGCATCATTATCACCTGCTGAGAAACAGCAGTGAGATTTGTTGGTGGAAATCGAATGGAAGAAAATTAATGCGTATGGTCATGAGCACATCCAAGAGCAATGCATCAAAGGCAGTTTTTTCCCAAAGATTCATTGCTAGTTTAGAATGTGAGTCAAACTGAGAAACTCCTCCAGAATGTTCTGTTGTCCAGCTTACCTTTGAAATAATCCCTTCCTAAACCATAATTGCCAGCATGTAAGTGAGACATTTAGTAAAAGATATTGCCCAGGACAAACTGAAGAAATCCCAGACCACATTTCTGAGTAAAGCTGTCATCAGCAATCACAGCCCTTGCTTGTGTTTAGCTGCTCTCAGTTTGTCTGCATGACTGACTCCCACCTCCCCATTTCCAGGCGAGCCCAGGGCTGTCTCCAACCTCCTTGCCAAGATCTGTGCAAGCCCAGGGTGAAGAAAAAAAGCAAATATTGAAGTGGAGCAGTCACTGGTCAGGTGCAGTGACTGTGGAGGGTTTGCAGGAGATTCTGAAGTGCTGACAGAATGGGGGTTCCTGTTCCCAGCTGGTTTCTTGCAGCCCCAGGAGAGCCAAGAAAGGCAGACTCTGCTCTGATCTGCATTTCTGCTCAAGTCAAGTGTACCCTCTCACCCTGCAGAAGATGCAACTCTTTAGCTAGTTCTCATGGAAAACAGGAATGCATCCCAGTGCTTTTTCTTGCAAATACACATATCTACCCCCAGAATAAAACTATACACATTTAAAAGGTCCTCTGTGTTTAGATGTCAGCTGTTTAGTGATGATATAAGGGACTGAGCAACCTCTGGCAATATATAATGATAAAATTATTGCAGCATGCCAGTCAGACTGTTTCCACTTC